CCCTTCCCACTCCAGCTCCAGAAATCTTTTAACGGCAGCTGTTATGAGAACCAACATGTGATGAACAAGATATGGAATAAGTAAAGCTTGGACCTTGCTCTGCAACAGATACTACACTCTGATAAGCCATTTTTCTAGGTCAAACTGGCTGAAGATCAGCCAGTTCATATGATTCAAACTAGCAAAACCAAATGTTCTGCAGGCAGGCCCACCTAAAAAGGTACAGGCAAGGTATAGGAGCTCCTGTAGGAAGGCATGGAATCATATTCTTTCTCATAAAACTCAGTCCTGTCCTAACTGGTTTGGCTCAGCGGATAGAGTGTCGGCCTGCAGACTCAAGGGTCCCAGGTTCAATTCTGGTGAAGGGCATGTACTATGGGCACATACCCAGTGGGGAGTATGCAGGAGGCGGCAAATTGATGTTTCTCTCTCATCGATGTTTCTAGCTGTCCCTCTCCCTTTCTCTCTGTAAAAAAATCAATAAAATATATTTTAAAAAATAAAAACTCAGTCCCTTTCTCCTGAATCACAAGTGTTCTCCATTACCAAAGAATACTGTGGATGAAAACTCCTTATATCCTCCATCCACAGAATTCTTCATTCACCCAAAAGGTACCAAGCTGGGCCAGGTGCACCAACACCACTGCTGTTCCTGATACTACGTTTATTTCCATGCTGAACAATGGTGGCCCAGTACCCAAGAGTAAGGGAATGGGAACAGCCTTCCAAGGAAAGTTGTGTTCCCTGGCCAGGCTGGACTCCTGCCCTAGACGGCTCCACCTGCTGGCATATGCACCAGCTGTTTCCTGGGTTCCTAAGCCTCCCCTTCTGCATCCACTTGTATAGCTTAAAATTTCCTCTGCTTTAAGCTTCCCACTTATTCATACATGACAATGCATAACAACATTTATCTTTATGGAACACTCACACTCACATTTCTAACATGTTCTTTCAATACAGGCACCAAAGTTATAAGAATAAGTTTTTATATCACTTAGAAACCTCTCCCTCCTTATGTCCACATGAAAAGAAAAAAAGCAAAACTCCTTTACAAATGCCAACCCCACCCTGAGTCCAAGCACTCCAAGTAGGGAAACTTCCTGCCTGGAGTCCTGGTACTGCCATGCTCTGGCTGCTCTCAGAGTCTCACCATCACCATTCCACCCCATGACATACTGCAGGCGCAGCACCACCAAGGAGAGACAGTGGACAAAGAGCCACTTCCCCCACCTACACTATTAGAATCCCTGGGGAATTTTCACGCTGATATTCTCTAAGTATATGCACCCATCTGAGCTATCAAATGCATGTGGACTATTTGGAACCAATTATATCCTAGAATAAAACCTCAAAGAGGAAAAAGTCCAAATATTACTTTGCTGGCCATTTACCTTTTTATAGTAAAACCTAAAATAACCCAAAGCTTTGAGAAATAGGTTTTTCATCCAGATTGAAAATGTTTCTAAAATGTATGGTTCATTTTCTACAGTAATAAAATAAATGAATTCTAAAGCAAATTTGTGATACAATTTTTATTTTTTTTAGAAATAGAGGTAGGAAGAGAAAGATTGATTGTTGTTCCACTTATTTGTGCATTCATTGATTGATTCTTGTATATACCCTAACCTGGGATCGAGCCCACAACCTTGGCGCAACACTCTAACCAACTGAGCTACCTGGTCAGAATTTGTGATACCATTTTACACACACTACATAAAAATTAGTGTAAACCACTAAAAATTATAATACACAAGCAAGTGTAATCTTAATCCTGAAGGTAAATAAAAATATTATGTAAAGAAAAATGATCATAACAAAACAAAACATATTTTTTACCTGTATTATTCAGCAAAGATTTAAAAACATATATGCTGCCCTGGGCATGTGGCTCAGTTGGCTAGAGTGCCATCCCATATAACAAAAGGCTGCAGTTCAATTCCCAGTCGGGGCACATATCTATTTTGTTAAGCATGTATGGGAGGCAACTGATTGATGTTTCTCTCTTACATCAATGTCTCTCTCTCTCTCTCTCTCTCTCTCTCTCTCTCTCTCTCTCTCTAAACATATCCTCAGATGAGGATTAAAAAAAAGAGAAATACACACCCACACACTAAAGGCCCAGTGTACAAAATTCGTGCCAGGGGGTGGAGGGCATGGGTCCTCAGCCCAGCCTGCGTCCTCTTGCAGTCCAGGAGCCCTTGGGGTATGTCCAACTGATGGCTTAGGCCACTCCCTGCAGTCAGACATCCTTAGCGCTGCTGCAGAGATGGGAGAGGCTCCTGCCACCGCTGCTGCACTCGCCAGCCGTGAGCCCAGCTTCTGGCTGAGCAGTGCTCCCCCTGTGGGACTGCACTGACCACCAGGGGGCAACTCCTGCATTGAGCGTCTTCCCCCTGGTGTCACTGTGCATCATAACTACGGGTTGTTCCGTTGTTCAGTCAATTTACATATTAGCCTTTTATTATATAGGATGGTAATACCACCAAATGTGGTCTGAACTCTCTTAAGAGACAGGGAACCAGTTCTTACGGTGGCTCCCTCCAGTTTATAGAGTTTAAGACAGAAACAGTATTGCAGCTGCCAGGAACACATGAAGCACAGTGGGCCCTGACACCTGGGAACTGGCCTGGGACTGTCAACATGGCCTGGGTGTTGCTAGGAGCTGGCTGGCAGTCACACCTGGGCCTTGGTGTTGAACATAAACATCAACGTCAGACAATGCTACTCTGCAGCATGCACCCACTTCTACCCAAGTCCACCAGGATCCAGAGGAACCCCCCTCAGAGAAAGCTGCAGGAGTCTGGATGGGGGCCATGAGCTACATGTCATCACCAACGTGTACCTCTACCTGATCAATTCCTGTGCTGCACTTGAGGTGACTAGGTTGCCTCTAGGAAACTAAGACAAAAAAAAAAGACTCTGCAGTGATATCTGAATACAGACAAACCACGAACAAAATACCAAACATCCCTTCTCCCTATCAATGAGTAACTACTGCTTTTCATCAATTTCCACTTGAATCTCTAAAATGCTGAATTATATGTATACCTGAAAACTAATATAAACTAAGATAATATTGCATACCAACTATATTTAAATTTAAAACTTTTTATAAAATAATTTCTTCTATTTGAAAAGAAATATTGAATTTTAGAATTACCATTTTCTGACGGCATCCACTCCAGAGCAAAGCCCTAATTCCTTAAAAACTCTCCCAACTCACTAACACAAGCCCAAATCCTGTAATACATCTATCACCATCTTCCTGAGATGGCCCACCACAGTTCCTATGTTGTGTCTTCTCCCTGGCTTCAACAAGCAATATACTCAGCCAGCTCAACTAATGGTATGTTCTGGTGGTCTTTGACTGGTGGGCGCTGACAGTTGTCAGGACATCAGTTGCCATGATGGGCCACTATACATGCAGAAATCATAGGAGCCCGACTGGGAAAATAATTCTAGGATATCATCTCAGTGCTAGTTCTCTGAATACATTCCCTGACCAGATGATTTTCTTGTCATCTGCCTCATTCTCCTAAAAGCTGGATGAAGGGAGAAAAAAAGTCTAGTTAATTAGATGTCCTGGTGAATAATGTTAAAACTAATCAAGGATACCCTGGACAGCTTCCCTTCCCTCTCATTTCCAAAAGTCACCCCAGCACAAGGTTAGAGTAGGGCTGGACGACTGACTCATGGGCAGAGCCTGAGGCAACACTACTCAAGTACTTTAAGCCACATGTTCAAGCCCAATAAATTAACCCGGGCTTAAAGAAGTCAGGCTGTACACATGTAAGAATTTTAATAAGCTTGGAAAATGCTACCTAGAGCTTATGTACAAGCTTACTGTACCAATGGGATTCCCTGACACCAGCCACAGAGTGCTAAGCCCCTGACAAGAGCTTTTGAGCACATGGGGCAGCAGTGACAGGGAGTCAGCTTGGTCCAGGTTTCCTCAGGAGTTGGAGACTCACAGCAGAAGGCTGGCGGCCAGATGGATAGAAAGCAGAACAGGGCATGCAGCTCTGTGGAGCCAACGGCATTTGCTAAGAAAACATGTCAGAGCTTTCTCTGGTGGAAATCTGGTCCTCACACACCCTTCCAGAAATGAGCAAACACTGTAATCAATATCTGCATTTATCCAATACCTGTTTGTACACAGAACTGTGTTAGGTACAAAAGAGAGTTGTTTAAGCAAACATGGTCTCTGCCTTCTAGATGCTGAGGTCTAATATAAATAAAAACAATAAACCTATCCAGAGGATTACCAAACTAACTGAACAAACATGAAACAGTCAAAAGTAATGACCTTATATAGAAAATGCAATGGAGTAAGAACTGAAGGTAAGTCATGGGAGATGACTCTCCAAACAGGGTGGTGCCCTCATGGGACAGGTACCTTGTTAAAGCTGAGCCTCCACCTGAGGATCAGCTTTTAAGAAACGCTTCAAGGGCTGGCTACTGGGCTTGGGGGAGAGGAGCCAATCAGAGAAGAGGGTGCAGCTTGGGAAATGATTTAGACAGAAATATAACTAGAGGGAGGAAGAAAACTTGACAATCAAGAAAATTAGGAGGAATCAGTCAAGCTGGTATGTGTTTCTCAACTGCTGTTACTAATGTCCCCTTCTGATAAACATTTTTAAAAACTCCCATTCTTTTATCGTGTTATTTAAAATTTGAAAGAAAATAAATAAATAAATAAATAAATAAATAAATAAATAAAATTTGAAAGGAGCCAAATCTCCTAATTAACATCAAATCAAAGCAATAATGGTTCAGAATTTAATTTTCCAAATGACACTAACCACCCTCTTTAACCTAGATATGAATCATGCAGTTGGATGGTATCAAATCAACAAGGATGGAGTAACTGTCAGTGAATTCTTAAAGAAGAGGATTTGGATCCTGGATCCACATGGGATCAGACAACCAGTAGTATTAGGAGTAACAGCCTCACGTGACAAAAACAGACCAGGATATTAGCAAGAAAATGTAATAATTACCTGATTAAAATTTTTGAAGGAGAACTCTTTGTAGATGGCATCTCTCTCTCTTAATTCTGACCATCCTGCTGCTTTAAGGTCGAGTATGACTTGGTTCCTCTCCTCTGCTGTCAACAAATGAGCATCTGCTGACTATGAAAAGAGCACATTTAATATCTGTAATGTAGAGGGTTAAACTCAAATAAACTTAAAAATATTCTCCTTAGATGTAGAAAAAAGTCTTAAGGACTGTAATTTCTAACCACCTTAGGTTCCTTTGTTCTCAAAATATAAAGTTCTCAAATATAGACAAAACTAAAGCTAACTATGTACAACATAAGCTTGGTCCAGGGAGAATAATAGGTGTATCATTTCACCAACTGAGCTTCTCTGGTTTATTACAGATACAGTGGAGACTGACCATTACCACCAACCATCTTACTGATGACCATTAATAATGGCCAGCATTCCAGAACTTAGGAAACTGAGTTAAACACACTCACTCAAGGAAATCCTCCAAGTATACTGGCAGGACCAGAACTGGAACTCGGCTATAAACTTCTGGTCTAGTGCTCTTGGGATGGTCCCACACCACCTTAGTAGCTTCTTTGCTTATTAACATGGGATTTAACTGTCTTGGTTCACTATTCCCTTTCAGATATGATAAAAACTAATCTGGGGAGGGGAGGAGAGAGGGAGTAAATGCACATTTACCCAGGACTCTGAAATAACTTCTGAGATCCACAGATCCTCTGGACTACAGGTAAAAAGCCTTTTGCTTTAGTGAAGTGAATTTTCTCAGAGTACCAGTAAGAAAACTCCCTCCACAGTCTGGCCAGAGCATTGCCCAGTTCAAAGCACTTGTGTGAATTGTCCACTTTGTTCCTACTCACCCTGGTAATGAAATTCACAGCCCAAGAGTTCTGTTGGTTAACAGGTCCACACTTTCCATATTTGGGATGTGTGTGTGTGTGTGTGTGTGTGTGTGTGTGATTAAATATATTTTTATTGATTTCAGAGAGGAAAGGAGAGGAAAGGAGAGATAGAAACATTAATGACGAGAGAGAATCATTGATTGGCAGGCTCTTGCATACCCAAATCTGGGGATCAAACCTGCCACCGGGCATATGCCCTGACCGGGAATCGAACTGTGACCTCCTGGTTCATAGGTCAACACTCAACCACTGAGCCACTCCGGCCGAGCTCCATACTATTTGTTTTTTATTGAAAGAACTGTAATGTAAGCATCATGGCCAGAAAGAGGAAAAAAGAGAAGGGCACTCTACTAGAAGTCAGAAGAGTTTCATTCCCATTCTGGCATACGTGCCAATCAAAAACTCTTGCCTTACCTATTTGTAGGGTTACTGTAGGCTTAAGTGAGAGAGGGACTGTCATCCAGAAAGAATGAGCTAAAGTGAGGGTTCCTGCCGAAACCGGTTTGGCTCAATGGATAGAGCGTCGGCTTGGGGACTGAGAGGTCCCGGGTTCGACTTCGGTCAAGGGCATGTACCTTGGTTGCGGGCATATCCCCGGTAGGGGGTGTGCAAGAGGCAGCTGATTGATGACTCTCTCTCATTGATGTTTCTAGTTCTCTATCTCTCTCCCTTTCTCTCTGTACAAAATCAATAAAAACATATTTTAAAAATAAATAAAATTAAAAAAAAATAAAGTGAGGGTTCCTCATTGAAGGGTAACTGGGGACTGAGCTGGATTCTCCACTATGAAACTGCAACTCATCCCTACTTCAAAAATCCTAAAGCCTTTTATTACTGACATTAGTGTAAGAGAGCAGTAAGTAAACTTACTGTAAAACAACTGATTCTAGAGGTTCGTGGCAAGATGGCAGAGTAGTGAACACTGTTCTCTCTTCTCATGACCACATCAAAATTACAAATTACAGAATAAGCAATCTAGAGCAGTGGTCGGCAAACTCATTAGTCAACAGAGCCAAATATCAACAGTACAACAATTGCGATTTCTTTTGAGAGCCAAATTTTTTAAACTTAAACTTCTTCTAATGCCACTTCAAAATAGACTTGCCCAGGCTGTGGTATTTTGTGGAAGAGCCACACTCAAAGGGCCAAAGAGCTGCATGTGGCTCTCAAGTTGCAATTTGCCGACCACTGACCTAGAGTACTATGTGAAGACTAGCTGAATGTAAGTCCTATAACTAAGAAAATTAAAAAGCCACTACGCAATTAGTAGGAGGCAGAGACATGAAATGGGCTGACCCCATGCCCAAGTGTGGCCGGTGAGAATTGGGAGGAATATCACAGCTACAGAGGTTCCCCCTGAGGAGCTGGGGGTCCCAGCCCCCCCCTGGTCTCCCCACACTGGTTCCTCTGCCAGAAAGAGGAACCCACAACACATGGCTGTGAGAATCAGTGGGGATCCCATCCATCTGGGTGAGAATGGAAAGCCGCTGGAAACCCAGGCATCCTCTGAAAGGTCTGATGCCCAGACTCCGATCTGTTGCAGGCACTCACCCTGCGCTCCTACGGATGGACAGACAGGAAGAAACCGAGTTGTGTGGCTTCAGGGATAGGGCCGAGGGCACAGTGGCCACTGACCCTGTGTTGAGCCTACAAGGGGGACATTACAATACCAACCTGATGAGGTTTTTGAAAGGCTTCAATTAAAGAGGTTTTTAATCTGAAGGCACCCAGCATAGCACATGGCAGTCACTCGAATCACGTCTGTTTATTCATTCCTCCCAGAACACCCCAATTTGACTTATTCACCAGGACCTGGATTACTTATGCTTGGATGGCAGAAAGCACTCAACTTGTGTTCTCATCTTAACGGTGGGAAGCAAGGTGCCTAGCTTCCTCCATCCCTAAGGTATTTTTTTCTTCTATCAAAATACTGCAAACTGCCTACACGGTTTGGCTCAGTGGAGAGAGTCCACCTATAGACTGAAGGGTCCTGGTTGGATTCTGGTCAGGGGCATGTACCTTGGTTGCAGGCACATCCTCAGTAGTGGTGTGCAGGAGGCAGCTGATCAATGTTTTTAACTCTCTATCTCTTTCCCTTTCTCTCTGTAAAAAATCAATAAAATATATTTTTTTAAATACTGCAAACTGCTCTGGCCGGTGTGGCTCAGCAGGTTGGGTGTGGTGGAGTACTAGGTCAGCTACCCTTACCCACAACAAAAGAGAAAAGGGGCTGCCAGTGTGATTCCTGGTCAAGGCACAAGTCTGGGGGCTCCATTCCCGGTAGTGAGCATGAGGAAGGCAGCCAATGGATATTTTGCTCTCACATCAATGTTTTTCTCTCTCTCCTCTCTCTCTCACACAATCAATACCAAAAAAAATTTTTTTTTAATTGCAAACTGCCAAATGGGCTCCATGATATAAGGAACTTAAAATGAGTTTAAGTGCAACATTTTCCCCACTAGGTGGTGCTGCACGTTAAAGCTTTCTCCAAGTTCATTTATCCCCAATATGTAAATTTCTAAAGCAGGAAAGCTGACGGACGCCACTCTTAAGAAGAAAGAAGAATCGAGGTGTCACCCAAAAGATAATTTATTAATAATTCCTAAAAAAAAAAAAAAAAAAAAAAAAAAAAAAAAAAAAGGAATAACACCAAAACAAGCTCGTTAATTGAACCACATTCGGTCACTTTCCCAGCGAGCGCGGCCTGCGGGGCCGGTCCTGCCCTCGCGGAGCGCAACCTGGAGGCCGCGCAGCGCGCGGGAGTCACAGGGTGACCCGCCCTCAGGTGTCCTCACAGCCACGCGACCACGCCCGTGTCTCCTGCAGAACAGCCGTCCTCGCTGGTCTTCCGGCTCGCAACGCCGTGGACCGCCACGGGGTGTTTACGGCCAGGGAGACCGAGGGCGCTGCGGCCACGCCGGCGCGGCCACCGCAGTCCAGCCCGAAAGCCGGGCCCACGTCGGGCCTGCGCGGCCCTCCCCCCCCCCCCCGCCCCTCCGCCAGCCCACGGGGCCGCGCTCCCTCCCGCACCGCGCCCCCCGCGCCCACTCACCATGGCCGCGAGGCCGGGGTTCCAACCCCGCAGCGCCGCCAACAAGCGCCGCGTCGCCCCCCGCGCCCCCAGAGTCGCCGCCATAGCCGCCGGCCGGGAGCTGCCCGGCGCACTGCCTGCCCGCCGTCCGCGCCCCGGCTCCCCGCACGCCGCCCCGCCGGCAGGCCCTGGCGCGGCCCGCCCCGGAAGGCCCCCGGCGGCTTCACCAGCCCCGCAGGCGGCCCCCGCCGCGCCGCTCGGCTCGCCTCCCGCATCTCCCCGGCCCGGGTCCGAGTTTCCTCTCTGTGCGGGTGGAGAGCGGCTGGCGGCGCTGGGCTTCCCTCCGCTCAGGTCTGACCGCCGGTCCGCTCCTCGGCGCCGGCCTCGGGGCACCCGCGCGCTCACGGACGCCCGGACGGAGCGCGACTCCCTCCGGGGCGGAGGGCGAACGGCCCGCGAGGGGCCGGGCCCGGGCCGGAGGAGGTGAGCGGGTGGGGGAGCTGGGGGCCGCCCCTCTGTGCTCGCGGGAGCGGCGGCGGGGCGAGCCTGGTGGTTCACGTCCGCGCACCGGAGGTCCCAACAGAGCTTCGTGCTTCCTTGGCTGCCAAGACCTTGGGCAGACCGGCTCGCCGGCGTCTGCCTAAATCTGGGAAACCGAGCTCTGTGTTGTCTAAAGAGCACCACAGGCGCGGCACACAGGAGGCACTTCAGAGATACACGCTGACGGATTTAGATAAAATTTCTGTATCGTTTTTCTGAAGAGGGGCATTTTTAAAGGCATTTTTACATGTGTGTCTTCATTAATATTTTATCATTTTTTTTGCCTTTTGCCTTTGAGATGTAATTCACATATAACTTAAAATTCACCCTCTAAAATGTGTAGTTCAGCGATTCTTAGTATATTCACTTGTATCTGTTTTTAACTAGTCTAAGCAAATTAATAATGAGTTTTGCAGAGGATATAACAATACACTTTTTTTTTTAAAGGGTGAGTCCATTTAAGTTCAGCTTAGCAGTTACTAGCATTAATTTGTGGGGTTTAATATATTTTTATTGATTTTTAAAGAGGAAGGGAGAGGGAGAAACATCAATGATGAGAGATTATCATTGATCAGCTGTCTCCTGCATGTACTACATTTTAGCTATATTATGACTAGCTATGGGAAACACGTAACAGGGAGACTGGAGGGAAATACATGCCATGATCGCTTAGGCCATGACACAGAGGTGGGGCAGGGTGCCATTCCACATATGATTAAGTCTGAAGCTGCGTCCCACGTACAATGAAGTCTATAGCTGGGAGCTGCATGACCAAGAGCCAAGTTACTTAGGGCCTCATTTTCTCTTTTGTAAAATGAGGACACTAAATAGTAGTGCCAATCTCATAAGGCTATTGTACTTGCCTCTGTAACCTGCCTTTCTCCCTACCACATCAAAGGAACAGAAATCCATACCGCTGTTCCAAGATTAATGAAACTATATGTAAAACAGTACCTGGCACACACACAGTGATATTAAAGTATTGGTTATTACAAGAAACGGAATTATTAGAGGTTTTTCTCCTATATTTTAAGTGTAGATACATACATATGAAAGTTCAAATCCCAGCTTCATCAACTTACTATGTGTGTGACCTGGGTGAGTTTTTAAACCTCTGTGTCTGCGTTTGCTTACTTGTAAAGTGGAAATAATAATGGTACTATTCTGAGCCACAGTTCCCTCCTGCCAGTGACTAGCCCAGCCATAGCTGTCCACATTACATAAAGTTTAAAATATCCTATATAATGTGAGAAGATTCATCTAAAAGTTTCTATTTCCATAGAATTTAGGGTGCCTTATGAAATGAACTCTCAAAAACACAAATAATCGACAGGCTGGTGTGGCTCTGTGGTTGATCATCATCCTATGAACCAGGAGGTCGGTTTAATTCCCAGTCAGGGCACATGCCCGGGTTGCTAGCTTGATCCCCAGTGTGGGGTGTGCAGGAGGCAGCCAATCAATGATACCCTCTCATCACTGATATTTCTCTCTGCTTCTCCCTTCCTCTCTAAAGTCAATAAAAATATTTTTAAATAAGTAAATAAAATATAATCAGTATAAAAGTAATGTATCATCATGTTATCAGTTGTCATATCTGAATTTAAGGAACCTTTTAAAAACAGCTTTTCAAAAAGTTTGTATAAAAGATGTTATCTGTTTTCTATCTGTGTCCTAAAACTAGACTAGATTAAACTTGTGGGCCAGATAGTGTTTTATATTTCTTTTGGCTATCACTAAACCTAGCACAGTGCTAACATTTTAAGATTCAAATAATGCATGCTGGTTAGATAACTATGACTAAAATTAAGTTATGCTTTAGCACAGAACTGTCACTAAAGAAGATTCAGTTATGATAATATCATTGACTTTCTCCTGATAACTGCCTTACCCAGAAAAAAACTTAAGCTACTTAAAATTCTTTTAGTGAAATTAGAGGTCACAAACAACAAGATATTTGACTCTTATTTTCCCATTAATTGCTATTTATAAAGTCATACTTATCAATTCTAGTTTATTCTTTCTGTAACAATACTTTCCTGCTTAAAGTCAGATAGAGAAACTGCAAATGAACAGAAAACCAACCTTTTTAGACATGTAAGGAATCAAGAGTTCTCTAATCTGAAAGTCCTATTTCTGCCTTCCATAGAGTAAGCAGAAATATCATTCTACTCATTATTCCACCAAAATACATCTTCACATTTCAAACGGATTATTCCCTTAAAAAATGGATTATGTTCAAGTAGAAAAACAAGAATGGTGAATTCTACTGAATATTTTTACATTTGCTCATTGCAATACTAGTTAAAACACCAGTTTATATTTTTTTTTTTTACACATTCAACAGTTTAACAAATGCATGATTCTTTGAAGTTGTAAATCAACTCTTCATTGGAGAAGATGTATGAAATTGCAGCATTAATTTCTGAAATGAAGGATTGAAATTCCTCTTTCCAACTTCCTTCAGTCCATCTCTACTCCACATGTTCCTGCTCTTGTCCTGGAATTAGCCACCGAATGCTCTCAGTTCGAATAGTAGCATACATAATAAAACTAATTAAAAAGAATAAGGAAAATACAAGCAACCAGTCCACGCTTTTTATCAAAGTGCTGGGAAGAGGGCCTATTTGGTCAGCTTGAGTTACCACCACATTTTTCTTGGCTTCTATACCTGCAAGAGAGAACAATTATTTCAAATCAGATAGAAAACACACCCGCTACAGATCTTTCTAAAGTATTTTGCATAACATGCAAAATGACATGCAGTCTTAAATACCACTGGTACTATATCTGGGATGGGTTTCATCTGTCGGTGTAATTTGTAACTTGCCTTTCTCCCCACCACATCAAAGGAACAGAAATCCATGCCGCTGTTCCAAGCTAAAACACTAGAATTTCTGTGAGCTCATCAGGGCGTTGTAAGAGTTGTCTTTTGAAACCAAAGTCCAACAAGTAACTAGTAAAGCTACTCTCAGGAGTCTAAAGAAGGTTTTCACAAGTTAAGCAATGTTGCCGAAACCAGTTTGCCTCAGTGGATAGAGTGTCAGCCTGCAGACTAAAAGGTCCCAGGTTCCATTCCAGTCAAGGGCATGTACCTTGGTTGTGGGCACATCCCCAGTGGGGGTGGGGGGTGCAGGAGGCAGCTGATCGATGTTTCTCTCTTATCAGTGTTCCTAACTCTATCCCTCTCCATTCCTCTCTGTAAAAAATCAATAATTAAAAAAAATAAGTAATGCAAAATACAAAGTGCTTCTAAATAAATTTACTAAAAGAATTGTTAGCAGAGATAACAACTGGAATCGGTGATTACAGATTTCATTGGTATCCTGGGTTTTCTGGAAGCACTGAATAAAATAGCTCCCTTTCTCCATATCAATCTGAATGACAAGACTTGAAATGGCTAACCACCTGGTAACAAGCCTTCTTCTCCGATGAGGTCACCAAGCTCTTTGTTATTTATTGTTAGATATAAGTAATTACATACAACTTAATATGTAAGGAAGGTATGTTATAATTTGTATTTATTTTCAGGGAATATACTTCAAGAAGGAGATGGATGCTTATTATTGAGATGTTAAAAGCTTTTGAGGAATAGACTTTTCCAATAAAGGAAATTTCTTCCATGTACAAGGCCATCTGGTTTGGCAAATATTAAGGAATTAAAATAGCATCTGCAAATGGATTAAAAGTGGAATACTATACAGTACAAAAAACAAACATACACAACAGTGCAGATGAATCCCATAGATATAAGAGTGAAGCCTTAGCCGGTTTTCCGCAGTGGATAGAGCATCAGCCTGTGCAGACTTAAAGGTCCCGGGTTGGATTCTGGTCAAGGGCACATGCCTGGGTTGCAGGCTCAATCCCCAGTAGGGACACACAGGAGGCAGCTGATCAATGAACCTCATCATTGATATTTCAATCTCTCTTACTGTCTGAAATCAATTAAAAAAAATTTTTTTAAGTGAGTAAAATGAGCCAGATACAATCTAGTCTCTGTCTCCATTAATATAAAGTTCAACAACAGGTAACAGTAGTCTGTGGTGCTCAAAGTCAAGACGGTGGTCATCCCTGAAGAGGGCAGGAGCAGCAGTGCTAAAGCAGGACTGGTACTATTCTCTTTATTGTTACCCACAGTGTTCACTTTGTGAAAATTCACCACCCAGTTCACTACTGACTGATGCATATTTTTCTGGAAATATTACACTCAAATGAAAAATGGATTTAAAGAGTGTATGATATGTGAATTCTATCTCAATAAAGTCCTTTTTTATTTTATTTTTAAGTATATTTTTATTGATTTCAGAGAGGAAGGGAGAGGGGGAAAGAGATAGAAATATCAATATCAATGAGAATCATTGATAGCTGCTTCCTACATGCCCCCTACTGGGGATCGATCCTGCAACATAAGCATATAACCTTGACCAGAAATGAACCCTGGACCCTTCAGTCCACAGGCCAACATTCTATCCAATGAGCCAAACCAGTTAGGATTGTCCTTAAAAAAAAAAAAAAAAAAAAAAACTTTAATCATATTAAAATTACCTATTCATGTTATGCTTGTCACTGATTGAGAGACGTTTAATAGGCACATACAAGTTTATTAGAAGTTTTACATCTCAAAGCAATCTTGAATCCTTCACTTAAGGATGATAGCAGATCAGAACCCACAGAAGGCACATACCCCCAGCAATAAAAAATCTTCTACAGCTTATTACTCCTACATACCTGTCTGGTTAAAAATGAAGATTTTCAGTGTTTCCAATGTTCTGTCTGTATGATTAAATCTAGCCATTGGTTTAGCTCCTTGAAATAACAAGATGTTAGGAACAGCTACAGTGCCAAACCTGGTGGAAAGGCTACAAGAAAAGGACAGAAACCTGATTAACATGGGCTTTCTCACAGTTACCGTATGAGAATGGATGGCAATAAATGAGATAGGATTGGTCTTGTATGGAGGTTTCTGATACTCAAATTCCAGACGTTGTAGTTGTTCTGCCCACCTTCCTTATGTGTCACAGTTGGGGGCATTTTTGTTCTGCTGAGGTGCTATTACAATATGGAACTACACGTGACACAATTATTCCACTATGTAAGTTCCTAACTGCCAGGTCAAAGATTCTAACTCACGGACAAAAACACACTGTCAATTTACTTGACAAGGACATTTCACACTCTCCAGAATGCCCACCTCCATCTCTCATAAAGGATTCAACTTCTGGTAAGCAATTAGTTTGGGAAAGTTGGCACAAAGGAATCTATGATCTAACAAACACACCAGGAAGTTCACAATTAGGGCAAGATGCTTGGGAAGTAACATGACCTGAGTGGTTTTGTTTCACCTTTTCATAATACAAAGTAATGGTATGAGCTCCGAATCAAAACATTCGGGTTCAAGGCTCAGTTCTGTTAGTGAACCAAGTAATCTGTGTAACCTGCAAAATATTACACCTCTTTAAACTTCAGTTTTTCCCATTAGTAATATTGGATAATCAGGATTTTTTCTTTTGTAAACATGCTTTAATTTAAATATTAATATATGAGACAAACGCACGTCCCACACTGCCATATAATAACAAGTATCTTTTATTCTTGAGAAGGATGCATGGAAATGAAGGAACAAAGCAGATGATAAAAGCCTGCAGGGAAGGGGGTGCGGAGAGGGAAGGGGGGGAGTTCGGGATCACAGTACTGACAGGTGCTAGAGCCAGCCCTGCCAGCCTGGAGGCAGTGGAGGGCCCGGTCAAAGCTGGTTGTTGACCTGGACTGTCCTTCCTGTCAATCTGTTCTCCTAGGCTAGGCCACTTAGATATTTCCCTGAAGCCCTTGTGAGAATTACTAATTTGTTGGACAATTTCTTTCTTCATAGTCAGTTTAAGGTAAACACTGGCAGTTACCGACACCAAAAATCAATGGAACACAAATTAACCAAGTTTTATTCAACTTCAATTTCACACCAACTTGACCTTCATCCAGCTTTGCCAAATCCTTTCACATACAACACTTCCTTGTGACTTGCTAAGGAACATGTGATTTAGAGGATGAGGAGCATGCAGTTTATAACCCACGCACAGTCACAGCATAGGGGATGTATATACTATCTGAACAATGTTCTCGGTAACTTATCTTATTGAAGATTTAAAAAAGACACCCACTAAACAAGATGAAAAAATAAAACAATGGTAAATGTCATTTTAAAAAGCTAATTATTGAATGTCTACTAAGACATATTCAGGCAAAAATAAACGTAAGAGAGAAAAGAAAGGACAAAAAATCCTAAGTAGACACAAAATGGGGAGAGTTAGGCTGTCAAGGTGGGGACCTAAACTGTGGATGAAAGTCACAGAGGACGATCATACTTGTGACTGATTTTGCTAATTCATTCTGGCCAGGATGCCAGGAAGTCCTCCGGCCCCTGCACTGCCGCCACACAGAGCTGTTCTCCTTCCTCAGAAGGGACCTCCATAAAGTGAGCCATCAAGTTCCTCAGTCAGTCCGCATCCCTCACTCCTCACTCCCACTTGCCTTTCCCTTCCTTCAATCCCTCTAAAGAGCTCATGCTACCTCCTCTGCATCTCACTTAACTACCCCCTCCAATTAACTGCCACCAGTCGTCCCAAAGGATGATTTGGGATGAGACAGAAATGGAAACCCAACGAAGGGAAGATACCTGCTATGCTGAGATGCATCCAGGGCCAAAAAATGAAGAGCTGGAAATGCCCGGGGCAGAGAATTAAAATGGGGGGCCAAGCTGGCAGAAAATCGGCACCAAGGGGTATAGAACAAGACTAGCGTGCAGTCGCTACCATTGGGGTTGAGGAAATCCATAAGGTCCTATGGTAAAAGAAACAAGTGTTACAGTCAGCAGTAAATGTACATTTTTCTGGAAGGATACCCAAGTACAGGGAGGGGGAGGAGGAAAATTGTAATATATCTCCGTAAAACCTTTTGGATTTTGAATCATGCATTCATCAATCAGCAGAAAAGTACTAACAAATAACAAGTTACACACTTTCCTTTAAGCTTTCTCAACATTACTTTAGAGCAATTTTTCATAATGTAGCCAAAGACTAGGCACTCACAGGGGATAGGCCCCTGTCCCAACCTTTGATGGGCATCTCGCACAATCTAATGGCATTATTAAAAGCACTGTGATCTCAGACCCAAACTATCATCCCAGCAGATCCCAGTCTGTACTGAGCAGCTGTATCAACGTATTTGGTCAAAGGTTAGTTCAAGTCAAAAGTGCACCATCCCTGCCACCGCCCTAACTCAGACTGTTTAATAAACTGCTCCCTCCTGGTGGTGTGTGTGGCACCTATGAGACAAGCCCCGAGGAGCTCAGGCCTGGTGTTTACCAGGCATGGGGAGGGTCTGAGGCCAGCACTGACCCTGCAACATACCATACATGCCCTCCTTTAAAAGCAGCCCTATCTGTCTGGCTCACGGTTAGAGCTTTGGCCTGCAGACTAAAGGGTTGCGGGTTTGATTCCGGTCAAGGGCATGTACTCTAGTTGCAGGCTTGATCCCTGGCCCCGATTGGGGCACATGCAAGAGGCAACCAGTTGATGTATCACTCCGGTATCGGTGCTGTCTCTCCCCCTTCCCTTTCACTCACTCTAAAAACCAATGGAAAAAAATATCCTTAGATGAGGATTAAAAAAAAGGGAAAAAGAAGCAATCATAGTCCTGGCTCTGGCTGGTTGGAGTTTCGTCCCATACACCAAAAAGGTTTCAGGTTCAATTCCCAGTCAGAGCACATACCTAGGTGCAGGTTCCATTCCCGTTCAGGGCACAGGTGAGGCAATGGGTTGGTGTTTCTCTCTCACACCAATACTTCCTCTCTCTCAAATCAATGAACATATCCTCAGGTTAGGATTAAAAAAAAAAAAAAAAAAAAAAAAAAAGCAGCAATAATCACAGCTTTCAGAGCTCAGACTTCTCTGCATTCATGCTGCCATCTGACATAAAGCCATCCTACAGAAACTATCCCACAGAAAGCTATCAGGCTTTATCACAGGATTTTTTTTGAAATCACTATTTATCTAACTAGCTGGAAAAACATGGCTGGGTTTGGGACAATTGTTTCAGCAGTCACTCAAGAGTAAACAATGGATTCACATTCTTTGAAGGAAAAAACTTTCCTCAATTTAACATTTTTCCAAGGGGCATCACTAATTTAAACCATGTTAAGTTACAATTTGAACAATTCAGATTATTTTTTATAATTCAGATTTTTTTTTTTTAAGAGAGAGAGAGAAGGAAGAGGGAGAGACAGAGAGAAATATCCATGAGAGAGAAACATTGATCAGCTAGCTGCTTCCTGGGGATCAAGTCTGCAACCTGGGTACGTGTCTGTGAATCGAACCCTGACCTCCCAGCTCACGGTAGATGCTCAACCACTGAGCCAGACTGGCCAGGCTATAATTCAGACTTTGTAAGCGGCTTCTGTTATGATTCTGATGTCTACTGGGTTTTTTATCATGATGACTGGTGGTGAGACTAGTACTCCAAGGATGATTACGTTGAAGTAGCCCAAAAGCATAGTGGACACTAGTTATATCCATTCTCACTGATGCAGCCACTGAACACTATCCTACTTACAATATGATCAAGATTGCCACCTGAAAGTTGATAGTGTCTTGGATCAAAAAATCGATGTGCAAAAAATAAAACTAAAATAAAAAAGAGATGTGCCAAAAAGAACAGTAGTAAGTCATTTTTTCTTACCTGGGACATATTTAAAATTTTCAGGGTGAAATTCTCTAGCCCGGTAACGTTTCTCTCCTCACAGCTGACCTTGGGGAATTTCTGGCTGTCCGTGTGATTGGAGTCCTCGGTGGGGGCCAGGTCAGTTTCCACTGCTTCTGGCTCCGTGTAATGCTGCAGGTAATCCACCTCTTCTCTGTCCGGGAAGGTGTCTCCATCGCTGTCCAGAGAAAAGAGGCTCTCTGGGAGGTGGCATGGTGAGTCTTCCTCCCTTCCAGCCGCACAGGTGCCGATGCTGGGCTCCGAGCTCAGTTTGTCACCGGCTTCCCCGGGAATCACAGACAGCATCACCATGTGGTTGCCCTCGCTGTCCAGCCCCAGCACTGCATCAGCTTCTTCTGCTGACGTGTCCAGGACCACTGGGCCACGGGAAGGCTCCTCTTCACTCATGTACACAGTCCCCATCTGGAGAGCAGGGTCCGGCTGCTCCTCCCCTGACCATATGTGACCACTTTCCTCTGCAACTAAACATGCCAGCATGTACACGGTCACATCTGACTTCCAAAAAAATGAGCCCCAAAGAGTTACAGTTCTCCTCAAATATGAAATTTCCCCTCCTACAGAGAAAAAAGCTGTCCTTCCCATTCATTCAGCAAATGAAAAACATTCTGCTTTCTGGCTAAGATAGAGTAACAAGACCACATATACACTCCCTCCTAAAGCAACCCAAAGAACAGTCAAATATGTGAAACCGCTATTTCAGAAAACCAGTTATTAGGCAAAAAAGGACAGTGACCCCTGAGAAACAGGAAGCAAATGAGAGCACTGCGGCTGGTCTAGCTTACTGCCTAGGGAGTAGCCACTGTGGCTCGGGAAGGGGGAACACAGGCAGAGCCCAGCAGACTCAATGAGTTGAGGAAATGGAGCTGAAAGCAGGAAACCTAGGAAGGTAAGAGTTTGCAGGATAGAACACTGGAGATGGGAGACCTTCCCAGCATGAACTCTGGAGATCTGCAGAGGGGCCCCTTAAGTATACTACTGGTCAGCACATGCATGTGACTAAACTACCCAAAGCCAGAGAAAGAACCACCCAAAAATATTAGAGGCAATAATACCTAACACTCACACTTTCTCAGGCATACAAAAGATGAAAGAATCCCTCACCAGCAGATCCGCATGACAAGAATTTTAAAGGAACTCCTTCAGGCAGAAGAAAAATGATACTGAATGGAAATATGGACCCACACACAAGAATGAGGAGCACCAGAAATAGTAGCTACATGGATAAATATACACAATTCTTTCTGAAAGTGTCTAGCTATGAAAGCGGACAAGAAATAAGGGGTAGTTGCTATGGGCAGGCAAGGGGCTAAGGGAGGTTTCTATTTTGGTTTTTAGGACATTGGAGAAACTTAAGGATGTTTAAAGCTGATGGGAAAGCATGTAAGAAGGAAGAGGTGACAATATGGGTTAGATATAGCAGTGTACAGGTCTTGACCGAAGGGGCTCAGTGCCTGGGCAGGAAACTCTGCAAATTTGGTATAAATTTATCTAACCACTATGCAGTACACCTGAAACTAATCCTATAATAAAAAAGAGCTAATATGCTAATTAGACCGAACAGCAGAAAGACCATCTGGATGAAGCCGGGCTGTGAAGGCTAAGCCCCTTGCACAAATTTCATGCATCAGGCCTCTAGTACAAAATGATTGAATGTAAACTGTAATGGAAAAATAAAATAAATAAAAAGCCTGAGATTTTCAGCCATCCTGAAAAGAAACAGGCTGGTGAAGGTTCCTAGGTCCTCACCCCATTCACAGCCTGGCCATGATGACCAAATGACTCACCCATGGCTGGTGTTATCCTCGGGTCTACATGAATATGGCCCTGACTGCAGGTAGACTCATTAAATGCAAAAATGCAAGTCGAAGTCCCCTGAATCAGCCAAGAAACAGAAAGCACATTCAATTTGGGCGATTCAAGGAGAACTTAATAAAAGGGTACTACCAACAAGTGGGCTGGGTGTAGAGAAAACAAAAACAATGAAAGGTACGCCAGGGCCAGTAACAGCAGAGGGCAAGCCAGTTACCATGATCAGTCTTAAAAGGCCAGAGGCCGCCATAACTGATTTGGCTCAGTGGCAGAGCATCAGCCTGCGGACTGAAGGGTCCAGGGTTTGATTCCGGTCAATGGCATGTAATCAGTTGCAGGCTTGATCCCTGGCCCCTGAGGGCGCATGCGGGAAGGCAACCAATCAATGTGTCTCTCTCACATCGATGTTTCTCTCTGTCTCTCCTCTCCCTTTCATTCCCTCTAAGAATCAATGGGAAAATATCCTCACGTGAGGATTAACAACAACAAAAAAGGCCAGAAGCGGAGGGACACAGCCAACCTGTGACAACCACTGAGGGAGGGAGCTAAGAGAATCAATACCCTGACCTCTCTCCCCCCTCATTCTAACCCAAAGGGAGCCAGAAAGCGGGAGAGACCTTTTTGTTACTATATAGTAGCAGGGCAGCTACTCAAGGTCCAGAGCAGGATGGAGAAGGCTCGAGAACAATCTGGGCGACATAGGAGACACCCAGCGCAGCTGTCCCCTCTTTGAGGCTGAGGGTTGAGTGTAGTGACAGAGGGTAGGACAGAGATTTGACTGTGCAATCAGGCAGACCGAGGCTTTCATCTTGCCTCCTCAACTCTGGCCGACTTTCGAGAAAGTCTGATTGATGCTGAGTCTCAGCTCACTCATCTATAGCACCGTGAGGACAGCATCTACGGTACTTCACAAGCTTTTAAAGATGAAATAAGACGATGCCCATCGAGCCCTGAAGCACAGCACCAGGCACGAAGTGAGAGCTTTCGTTGATGGTAATTCCTTCTTCCTCAGCCTCCAAGTGGGGACATGTCCCTGATCAGCAAGGACCTTGACACCCAGGGAAAGGAAAGACCTGCCTGTCCCTGTTTGGAATGAACAAGCGAAGCCGCACAAAGGAGTGGGAGGAAAAGCAGAGAGAGGAAGGCCTCCGCGCCAGGACAGCCATCCTGGGAGCGGCTGCCCTCCCACCATCCCCACCGGGGAGCCCTGAGCTCACGCCGGGCCGGCAGCGGGCCACCCTGCGGGAGTCTCCTGTGTCTGCCACCTGCCCTCACACAGGCACCAGAGCACACGGACCTTCTTAGGAAAGCGCTCGAGCAGGGAGCAAAGCAAAGCGTGGGCTTTGCAAGTCAGCCCGGCACTGCCGTTTTCCAGAAGCGCAAACCGGCAGTCACCCGGCCTCTCTGAAAGGAGGATGCGAGGGACGCCCAGCTGCCAGGGTCGGCGAGAGAGGAGGACGAAAGGGCTGCGCACACCCCCGGCTCCTGTGAAGGGCAGCTCAGATGCCGGCTGTTCATGGTCATTATTAGCATTAATAACGAAGCGCCCGCCACAATAACAAAGCCTCAGTGACCGTAAACGCTGGGCACGGCCCCTCCCCGCCCACAGCCTCCGCCGAGGGCGCTGGCCGTGGCGGGGCTCCCCGGCCTCCCGCTCCGCCGGGCCTCCCACCGCGGACCGCAGCCGGTCACCGAGGGGCTGTGGGGGGAAGAGGGAGGGACAACGCGGAGAGAAGAGCCGGCAAGACCGTCGCCCGGGCTGGCCGCAGCCTCCCGCCCCCGCCCCGGCCCAGCCCGCACTCACCTCCCTGGCCGTGGGCGGGAGGCCCCAGCGCCCACAGCAGCACCTGCCACCAGCCGAGGAGCCTCATGGCGCGGGGCGGCGGCCGGACCACCGCCCAGGCCGAAGGGCAACCGGCGCTCGGCTACGGGAGATGTGTTCCCCGCCGGAGGAAAGACGGGAACGGACAGGCCGGGAGCGCATGCGCAGGCGCAAACGCGCCGCCATCTTGGAAACGGGCAGCCGCCGCGGACGCCATCTTGGTGTCGGGCAGCTCGCCTCTGGCTTGTGGCGGGCGCCGTGGTTTCAGGGTCTTTAAAGGGAGCCAAGCAGCGACGTTCCAGGTTATGAACTTTCCTGAACCCCCAGCTCCGGGCGGGGTTCCAGCAGAGACCTGGGGCCCCTCAGAGTGCCTTCTCCTCCCAGAGGAAGTCCTTGCTCAGGGCAGGAGGTTTGGGTTGGTTTTTGTGGTGTAAAAAAAAAAATGTCCGAACCTGTGGAGAATTTTTCTGAGTTTATTTGACCCACATTGACAATAATTGCTGGGAAGCAAAAAGTCTCAGCAGATTGAGAAAAGGCTGGGGGGGGGGGTGGCGGGGGTCAGAGGCTCGGGAATGGCAGAAAGCTTATTTTATACATTAAAATAAAAGGAGGAGAGGTAAGCGAGGGTTATAGGAAAGGCATTGGCAGTAGATTAGGGAGGTGGGAGGAAGCAGAGCTGGTAAATCTGAGGCTGGATAAAGAGTAAAGGGGAGAGACAGCACAGAGCTGGCGCGTGGAAAACAAGGTAACATAAGGGGGTGATGTGGTCTCTGCTCTGGGGGCGTCTTTTTCACGTAGGCCTGGGTCCTGGAGGAGGGGAAGCCACCTGGAGCATAAAGCCAGGGCCTAGAATGAAGAAAGATGGATGGGAAGGGGAGGGGTGCAATGAGAGCGGGGAAGCTAGGAATATTCTGAGACAGGATGACCCTCCTTGTCAGCAGTTAGAGGGGAAGGTCTCCTAAAAAAAGAATACAGCAAGTTTTGAGCAGTCACTAGTGCTAAGTCAGGTTTGTAACTTTTCTCAAAGTTCACTTTCTTCATCTGTAAAATGAGGACGAAACTACAGTTCTGGGATTAAATGAGATGAAACGTGATGAGCCCAGTTCCTGGTGCGCAGTAAGCACTTCAAAATGGTAGCCCGTGACAGATTGTTAGGCCAGAAAGATGCATCACCATGGGTGAACATTATATTCTAAACAGGCTGCCATGGTTTTGCTACAATAAATTCTCAAGCAGGTCCAGTAGTATCTGAGACAATGCATTGATCACTAGTCATTTGACTCCCTCCTTCACCCCCAACAGTGTACATTTAATAACAATTTTTCCCCTCTTTAACTTATTCTCTCCCTGTACCCTCCTCTACACCCACTTTGAAGGTGCATGAAAAGCCAAAGAACAGAGGATTAAGGGGATTTAGGATTAATGAAAAGGAGGCTGATATGACTCATCTGGGCATTCCAACATGGATGCCCCATAATTATGACTTCTTCCTTTATATTATGACCTTTCCCTACCTGTACTTGTGCTCTACCTGTTTGTTTGGAGACAAACATTGGCAGATGTTGGAATTGTTTAATGACAATAAATGCAGCCGACAGGACAGAATGCACATTTAACTTTCTCACCACCAGGTGGCACATGCACTTATTTTTTATGAGAAAATTGCTTTCAAGCTTGTCACGAAACTGATTTTATTTTCATGGGATTTTTTTTTTTTTTTGGGGGGGGAGGAGGAGGAGTAGAGTTGACATTATCCTCTTCCTTTGGCTGAAATGAAATCTATGCACCAACATCACAGCACCTGGGATTGTTCACATAAGGATCTGATAACTATTGGAATTGTTAACTACACACCTGCACTGTTAAATTTGTCCCCCCCTTTAAAAAAGTTATTCGTCTGAGGATATTTCCTCATTAGTTTTTACAGAGAATGGGAAAGGGGGGTGGAGAGAGAGAAGCATGAATGTGAGAGACACGTTCATTGGTAGCCCTGAACCTGTGATCCTTTGTCTGCATGCTGACATTCCAACCACTGAGACAAACCGGCCAGGGCATGTTTTGTTTTGTTTTTCCTTTATTAATTAATGTATTACATATGTGTCCTTCTCCCCCCTTTAATCCCCCACATCCCCTCCCTCATGCCCTCACCCCCCTGGTGTCTGTGTTCATTGGTTAGGCTATATGCATGCATACAAATCCTTTGGTTAATAGAATAGATAATTTCATTTTATTTTGTATGAATCTTAAGAGAATATTTCGATTAATTTAATAAATCAGTACTTTGGGCATATATTCACATAGTTTTATTCCAAGCTCCTTTCCCATTCTTATCATTTTAATGTCATATTTTGATGAACTTCACTTGACCCAATGCACTCATTATTTCATCAATACTGGGTATTCTTGGAGCTATAACAAAAGGAAGTTATCCTGAGCTCCTTCAATAATTCAGTATTACCCCCCCCCCCAAATTGATTCTTGTATGTGCCCTGACCAGGGATTGATCACTAGTCATAAAAAAAACAACCTTGGCAACGCTCTTTCCAACTGAGCTACCTGGCCAGGACAAGGCTTTTTTTATATTATGGTATACAATCAGTTACTCATTTCAAGTGAAATCACAGTTAATACTTTTGTAATAGCTTGTGTAAATAAACATTAGATTTCAATAAATTAATTTTATTTAAAAGCTAGTGAGAAGGATCCTATTGGGAGAGGATTAAGATACAGAAGAAAGGCTAATCTCTAGAAGTGGGGGAAGAGATCCAGAGGGGGGAAACCTGAGACAGAACTGTCTCCTCCACTGGAACAGGAGGGAAGGATGGGTGCAGGTAAGTAATTTTCTCCGAGAAGAAGAAAGGTGGTCTGCTGAGAGCGAGTAAATGAAACTTTTGGTGTATTGGACAACATCCAACCAACTAAGCCACACCAGCCAGGGCAAAAAAATAACATTTTTTAATATGCTAATATGCCATTGTAGATCCTTTCTGTATTTTGTAAAATAGTAATTTTATAAAATAGAGGACATGCTTCTAAACCCCAACCTAAAGTTCAAGACAGAGCACACTGCTTCCCTAAATTGCTTTGCTAAGTCATAAGACCTTTTTGCATCAGCTCGAGAGCCACATGCAGCTCTTTGGCCCCTTGAGTGTGGCTCTTCCACAAAATACTTTGGCCTGGGCGAGTCCATTTTGAAGAAGTGGTGTTAGAAGAAGTTTAAAAAATTTGGTTCTCAAAAGAAATTTCAATCATTGTACTGTTGATTTTTGGCTGCTGACTAATGAGTTTGCTGACCACTGTACTAGGATTATGTCAAAATGAGTAAGGAGCCAAACTGGCTCCTACTAGCTAAAGATGGAACAATTTGAGCATAAAAATGAGTAATTTCAATATCCAGAGGTAAATCACCTTAGAATCCATGAGTTCATACTGATATAAAAAAAATTTCTTCGTCGCCTTTGGAAGATGATGGTAGAACCAATTCATTCAGAAAACTGGTAGATAAAAGAAACAATAGAATTTAAAACTGCCATTTTGTAGCCACCAATAAAATAAAGAAGCTAAGCCAAGATGATCAAAGACTACAGTGATGGTTAATGTTATGTATAAATTTTTAAAATATATATATTTTATTGATTTTTTTACAGAGAGGAAGGGAGAGGGATAGAGAGCTAGAAACATCAATGAGAGAGAAACATCGACCAGCTGCCTCCTGCACATCCCCTACCGGGGATATGCCCGGCAACCAAGGTAATGATCCTGACCGGAATCGAACCTGGGACCTTTCAGTCCACAGGCTGACGCTCTATCCAGAGCAAAACTGGTTTCGCATGTTATGTGTAAATTTAAATGAGCTAAAGGGATGCCCAGATAGCTGGTAAAACATTATTCCGGTGTATGTCTGTAAGGATGTCTCAAAATCCAATACCCATTCATGATTTAAAAAACACAATTTTTTAGAGAGAGTGGAAGGGGACGGTGGTGGTGGGGTGTGAGAGAGAAACATGTGATAATAAGAACAGAGTTTGAGATGTGAAAGATACAGCAATTGGTTGCCTCCCATTGGGGGATCGAACCTGCAACCTAAGCAATGCCCTGGATCAGGAAGAAAACCCGAGTTCTTTGGATGCGTGGGCTGATCTAATCACTGTTTCTTTATGTGACAGGAATCACAACAGCCACATAAGTAGCTCCTAACATGGCCTAAAAGCCAGCATTATCACAATTTATGACTGAACTCTGACCTGATCCTTCTGAGCAGATAGAGAATAAACACAGTAATCCATTTTTCTTGTGAATTTAATCTAAAAACTAGCCTAAAGGCTTAGGACTAGGCAGATGAGCTGTAGTTTCACCGGCTCTATGCTAAAATTAATTAGCTAATCTGGGAAATAAAGTATCTTAAAATGTCAATTCTGAATGAATAAAAATTGGCATTATATTATTTAATTCTACACCTTAAGGCATTTGTTTCCCACTATGGGTTCCTTGAGGGTAGAGACTATCTTCTTCATAATGTGAATGCCACACTCTAGAAGATGTGCTCAACAGTTACTGAAGTTTGCTGAACTTATTAGACTAGTTGAAAGCTTGGAAAAATTACTAATTAAAGTGGTTTTTTACTTAAATAGTAAGTTCTCTACATTTAAGATTAAGTCCAACCACCTGTTAGAAGGGCTACTATCAAAAAGACAATAACAAAGAAAAAAAAAAAGATCCATTTATAAGTTAAATTTTACATTACAAATACACAAATATGCTCCAATTGTTCCATCTTTAGCTAGTGTAGAGGAGATTCCAGGAAAGTACAAGATCCATGGTCATAAAAGAATGGTACTATTTACCATTTCCCTCCTCACAGAAATAGAGTAGTAAACATAGTTGGTTTTAAAGTAATGACTTTATTAATAAATATACATCCATATGATGATGTAGATACAAATCATGAACACTACTCCATTCCCATACACACAATTGCACATGAGTAGCTCAAGTTCATGGACATAAAAACATACACAGTATCTATTCAGACTTTTTACAGCAGAGGACAACGTGCTTATATCAGTTAATTGGTAATTATTTTCTCTGTAATTATCTGTGGAAAAAGGAAACTGTGAAGCTTAAAGAATCAAAGTGGTCGGATTACTATAAATCACACACTTGATTTACTATAGCATGAAGTATTCCAAAAATTAAATACATTATATGTGAGAGCACATATTTATCTACTCGGGGGTGATGGAGGAAAAGCAAAGGTTTAGATACATCCTAGAGTTTAATAGGATATAGTTAAGCTATAATAAAAACAGAAACCTAAAGCATCAAAATATTTTATGTCCAAGGAAAACATGTTTTTAACAACTGCTGTGAGTTCTCCTACTTTACCATAAAGGGATCATAACATGTTGCTGCATATAGAGACAATGACTGACAGAGTAGCAGTTACAGTCAACATCCCTGAATTGTTCTTTTAAAGCTTCTTAAAATATAAAAGAGAAGGTTAGTTTTTTTTCCTCTTTAACTCAAACACTGATTTTCCTTTCACTGGATGGATTACCTTAAACCTAATAAATGGTTTCAGATAATTTTTTTCCTCCTTAACTAAAACTCTATTCTTAGTTCATGAAAATATACATGTAAATTCACACAAACATCAGTTTGGAATGAATATTTCTTTTATTACTTGTACGTATTTCTTTTAAAAAGTAAATAAAAATAAAGAATTTTTTAGTCTGATTAAAACACTGATTTTAAAAATGTCCCCAAATATTAAAAACTAAGCAGATACTTTTCTTCCAAACAACATGCCAGTATTTTTTAATATCCAGTGCAAAACTCCAAAGATAGTATCAAAATCATCCCCTACTAAAGATTAATTATGCAAGGTTGTATTTGTCAAAAAATGAAAATTTCATCTGCATTAGCTCATTGGTTAATGTAAGAATAATAAATAAGGCATGTTAAAATATTTTTTAAAGGAAAAAAGTAAAGCAAACTTACTTGAACAGCAGATCATTTTCTGACCAAGTTTTTAATACAGAATAGTGAAACCTATTTTGTGAAGAGAATCACACATTATAAAATTAGCAATTTACCTTTAAAGGAACAAAGGAACAATCATAACAGTGGGACGAAAAGGCCAGTTTTTCCCAACTGATTAAAGTATAGGCATTTTAACATGCTATTTCAGTGTTTATCATGACAAGAGACAGTGTTACAAAAGATGCACAATGTAGTTTTTAGAGTATAAATAAGTAAAAATATTTTCTAGTTTAAGACTTCATGTTATCACTTAGATGTGTCTTTCTCTTCAGCATGGCATCAATAAACTGTTCACAAGGAGAAAAGGAAGTATAATCAATAGATGCTCACAGCACACAGATCTAATACTCCAAGTAACTGCTCACATGAACAGAAAATTCAGCTTTCTAAATGATGTTATCCATTCACAACTGTAGCCATTTGCCCCCTTTTTTACCTGGGACACAGCCCCTGATACTAATAAACACTGTTATGCACATACTTCCTTTAGTTGATTTCACCATTTCATTAAAATGTATAAAAAAAATTCAGTATACTATAATACACCTGCTTTACCTTCTGACACACAGAACAGCACCACTGAGTAGATGTGCTGGAGGATGGGGAAAACAGGAGGGAATGAACGTTGGAAAGGGCAGAGAGAAAGGGAAGGTTATGTATAACAAAATCAGGAATCAAAATAAACTGAAAGGCAATGTCAAATGGACATATAAAAACATATCATGCAATCAAATCCTTGACAGTGGTATATATTATTCTACAGTAGGATATTTAATTAAACAACTGTTATCAGAAACTCAAAACAGGATTTGTAAGCATCCAACTGCTGAACATCAATCTGAGAAGTAGCTAAATGACAGATACATAATAAAAGTGGGTAAATATATGAATAAAGATGTATGCATTTGTGTGTGTCAAAAGTTATACTGTTCTGAGTAAATTATTAAAATTTTATAGTTTAGGCTTCTTATAGCAATTTAGCTGCCAGAATGTTGCAACTGATTATGTAATCACCCAACATTGTTCGCTATGGTTTGTGCAAAGCTGAAATTGTTGAGGTCACTGTCTTAGATGCCAGTGCACACACAGTCCCCACATACAATGCAACACCTCTTACTGTAAAGAGCAGCATAAACTCCAGCTCATGTGTCAGGCATCACTGGAACACCTGAAGGCTTGCTGCTTTTTTCCTGATAAAAAAGGTACGAAACATGACATCCATTTGCAATCAGAGTTTGTATTAACTGAGAGCAAGCCCAAACAACACAATATGTGCCTTTTTAAACTTTTAATCGCTTTAAAAGTTTTTGGGTCCTGCAAATCTACATTATAATCTCAAAGACATTATAAACCACAAATACATACATTGTAACTTTAAAGTTCAGTGGAATTTTTTTCAAACCCAAAGTTTATAATAGTTTATTCAGACCAAACTCAGGATAAATAAAATGTATATCAACAAAAAATATTACTTTCAGAAAGGGGTCAAGAAGATTTCCTTCTGTCCCTACTATACCCAATACTTTTTTTTCTTTTCCATCTACCTTACTTCTAAAGCAAAAACTGCTGGAAAAATTTTGGGTGTGGGCTCAGTGGCACCACAATTAAGTATTTAATTATACTAACTCACATATTTTTTACATGTTCCATGCACAGATGGATTCCTATATATTTCTTAATATTTGTATTCTGACAGAAAACTGCATTTTGTTTATAGCAGTTTTACAGTCTACCATTCAGTTTGTGTCCTTTGGTAGATATAAACCTGAATCCACAGTAAGTGCTAATGCAACGGAAAATTTCTCAGAAAAAAAAAAAAAAAATTCTGAATAAATGAACAATAATAATAAATGTTTTAAGCATAATGCTTTACAACTAAGTCTATGAAAGGCAAAATGTAGTGAATACAATTCCATGCAAATCTTAAGAATGTTTCTTTTTCTATTATATTACATATGCTATTCTCAGAATGCACTGTATTTCACCAAAAATGTAATGTGCAGTTTTTATTAAAAAGTTTGAATTGTTTGTAGTGTTTGGTATATATGCTCTTAGGCAATTAAAAAAGACACTGACTATCATTGCTGAAAGGCAAACATTAAATAATTCCTTTAAGAACAAATGGTTAAATCAGTTAATGCCATTTAGAACAATAAATAAGTTGCCTAAACCTAGAACATTAAAAATAAAAATTTTAACATCTGAAGTCTATGTGAATGCCAAAGCATACAAATATCTGAGTCCTGGCCCATGAAAATAAAAGTTACTAAAACTAACAGACATACTTCAAATAATCGTGAATCATTAGTTTGCATTGTTCCATCAGTTAAAAATACCTTAGATATTATCATTCTTATATTGTAGACTTATTTCACAAACTAATGGGTATAATGGATTCTGTTGTTTTAGTACATAAAGCTTCTATTTAGAATGGCCCAAAAGTAGTAATGAAGTATGAGACAAAAATCATAACTCTAAAGGAAAGCAAAAATGATTTAGTTAGGTTATACTGGAATCTATGTACAAATTCAATGCCACTGCTTGTGCCCTGAGTGCATCTGTCAGCTTATGGCAGTTTCTGAGCAAAAGCAGGAAAAACAAACAATCAGGAAAACAAATGTGGAAAGCCCAGGTCATAAAATCATGTATGTCAAAATAAAACCTAGAAGCTTTGGGATTATTCACCATCTTCCTTCTAAGCCTGGCCCTCCTGTCCGGCCTCACTCACTCATTGGGCGGCTTGACCTCACTGCTGGTTTCCTCCACCCCATGAACGGCTCTGCTGTGCATCATGGGGTAAGGAAAAGCAGCAGTGCCACAGCCATAACCAAGATCGGCAAGACGGGACAGAGCTTTAATGCTACCTGGAGGTCTCCCTGGGCTGACTTTGTATCCCGCAGCTTTGGTTGTGCCCAAAGGTCTGCCTGGACTTGTCTTAAATCCAGCCGCTTTGGTGGTTCCCAGGGGTCTGCCTGTGCTGGTCCGGTATCCTGCGGATTTGGTGGTTCCAGAAGGCCGGCCACGCTTACCAGATCGATTGAGATTTTTCTTTTTCTTTAGTTCATCTTTTATCTCTAAGCTTCTGCCACTTGTAGTCTGCAAGTGCGTTTCATTTAATGGGTCTGGCCTCTGACAAACCATTGGCTTGTGGCTGACTGTGTGGCTGTATTTGCTTTGCTGGGAGGAATATATGTCAAACTGATCGGCAGCTCTCATGGCATCTTCGCTAAGGCAGGATGGCTTGCCAGGCCCACAGAAAGCCGGATTAGTGCTGGCAACAGGATGCATCATTTTCTACCAAAAATAAAAAATGAAACAAATATGCATAAGTATACATACACAAATATATATCTGTATGACAGCTTTCAGTGGGAAAATAGTCTGTCTTCCACTAACTACGCAGGAAACCTAAAATTAGGCTAACAGGCAGGACTCCAGACCACTTATAAACAAACACACATCAGCAGATTCAAAGATACTTGTTTTTCTCAATTTAATCATTGGTAGGAACAAATGCCATACAAACTCAACTGTAATACTGATTTAATAGGTTAATGTTCTCTGCTTAGGAACTGAAAGTGTACAGGTAGAAAGTAAATCTGTTATGTTCTGAAGGAATATATTTTATATCCTATAGGGACATATTCTATATATCTATATAGTTTATATTCTCTTTTCTTCTAGATCATTAAACCCCAAAAAGGTAATAGTCAAGACAAGAACTCTTATTAACATGATGTTCTTTTCCCTTCAGTTTGTTTCCCTTTGGCCTTTTATTCTACTTCTCACACGTATACTTCTGATCTGGCCACAGTTTCCAGATCACAATTTATTATTTATACACATCCCGAGTGTATATTATACTTTACAAAAGGTGGAATGTGCCAAACAATGAATGCAATCTCTTGATCAAACATATTGACTCCCTTCAAATGACTCTATTCAAACAGGAGGCAGAACCAATATAGAGAGTAAACAAATGTTTCCATTAGCTAGAATGAGTGAACATTTATACCAACAACTGAGACTTATATTACACTACTAGAGGCCTGGTGCACAAAATTCGTGCTCGAGGGTGTATGTCCCTCAGCCCAGCCTGCACCCTCTCCCATCTGGGACATCCCTCTCACAATCCAGGACTGCTGGCTCCCAATTGTTTGCCTGACTGCCTTCCTGATTGCCCCTAATTGCTTCTGCCTGCCAGCCTGACCACTTCCTAACCACTCCCCTGCCAGCCTGTTTGCCCCTAACTGCCCTCCCTTGCAGGCCTGGTCCGTCCCAACTGTCCTCCCCTGCTGGATCTTGTGGCGGCCATCTTGTGTCCACATGGGGAAAGCCATCTTTGACCACATAGGGGCAGCCATCTTCTGTGTTGGAGTGATGATCAATTTACATATTACTTTTATTAGATAGGATAGAGGCCTGGTGAATGGATGGGGGCTAGCTGGTTTGCCCTGAAGGGTGTCCTGGATCAGGGTGCGGGTTCCCTTTGGGTATGGGGCTGCCTAGGCAAGGGGCCTGAGGCGGTTTGCAGGCCAGCCACATCCCCTGGCAACCCAAGCGGAGGCTCTGGTATCTGGGATTTATTTATCTTCTATAATTGAAACTTTGTGCCCCTGAGTGGAGCCAAGCCTCTTGCTTGCTCCATGGCCACAGCCATTTTTGTTGGGATTTATTTATCCTCTATAATTGAAACTTTGTAGCCTTGAGTGGAGGCCTAGGCTGGCCAGGGTGTACGGAAAGCTTGGCTTCCTCTATCGCCAGGGGCAACTCAAGCCTCCTGCTCTCTCTAGCTCTGTGGCTGCTGCCATTTTTGTTGGGATCTATTTATTGTCTATAATTGAAACTTTGTAGCCTTGAGTGGAGGCCTAGGCCAGCCAGGGTGTGTGGAAAGCTTGGCTTCCTCCATTTCCGGGGAAACCCAAGCCTCCTGCTTGTTCCATGCCTGCATCCATTTTGGTTGGTTAATGTGCATACTTGCTCCTGATTGGCTGGTGGGCATGGCTTGTGGGTATAGTGGAGTGGTGGTTAATTTGCATATTACTCTTTTATTAGATAGGATGGGTAACAACCATAATAAAATGGTAGGGTTATCAAGACAAAAAGTTGAATGTACAACACTGCTTTCTTTCTTGATCATAAATATGGCATGGATCTTTTTCCCTTACAAGAGCCCTATGACTTATTAACAACAGACCAGTCTGTTTTGTCTGTGAGGACAACCCTGTGATGTTTTTCTCTTTGTAAAGACTGTATTAAACCATCACCATAACAAGACAGCCCTTATTGTTTAGACACACAGAAAATAAGTTTAGAGAAAAAAGATAAATATATGGTTTCCAATTCATTTAGAAAAATAGTCTCAAATGTATCTGAAGGCCTAGCCTCAAGTTGTTAGATTCTTTCCTGTACCCTTTGTATGTACAATACTGCACCAAAACCTCATAAAAATAACTACTCCCAGAGGCTGTAAGAACAGATAATTAATATAAGTCAAAACCACTGTAAATTTATTTCATTTTATAAAGGCAAAAGGTAACGGGAATCAAGTCACAGAATTGAATTCTGCTATATTACTAAATATTTGCTGAGACTCAACAGATACAGAGCTGTTGGCCAGTTGGCTTAAAGTCTTAACTATGAAAGAAAAAGAAAAACAATGAGAAGCTATTTGTTTATGGCAGATGTCTTACAGACTTGAGAACATAAAACAAGAATGACCTAACTGAACACAAATATTAAAAAGAGTAATTACTCATTCCCCAAGGATATAATGAGAACTAGGTTATTAATTCTCACTAACTCAATTTCTAATATCAGTTAAGTAAGGAATGAGCAAAATATATTAATATTAGCAGAAAGTTAACAGTTTTTGAGCATTTTCTATGTGTCAGGTAATAAGATTGACACTGTGAAGATTATCTGATTTAATCATTACCACAACTTTATGAGGAACATACTATTATTAATTCTGTTTTACAGAAACTGAGGCAGACTTTAGCAACACATTAGGAAATGGTAAAGCCAAAGAAATTCAGATAACATGCCTTCAGAACCAACAATATAATCTTCTATATATATAAAAGCCTAAGCGTCTGAACCAAATGGTCTAACAATTGGTCGACTGGTCGCTATGACACACACTGAACACTAGAAGCAGATGCTCAATGCAGGCGCTACCCACAGAGGGAGCACCACTCAGCTGACCAACAGGCATCAGATGCTGGGCTCACAGCTGGCAAGTAAGCTGCTGCTGTGCAAGCCTCTCCCAGCTCCATGGCAGTGCTACGGAGCGGAGGCGGCAGCAGGTGCAGCGGGGCCTAGATGAGCAGGAGCGGCGTGGCGCCTTGCCCAGGCTCAGGCTCCTCCCAGGCCGCCTGCCACTTTGCCCACTACTACACCCCTCGAGGACATCCGACTGCCAGTTTCGGCCCAATTCCTGGGGATCGGGGCAAAACTGGCAGTCAGACATCCCCCAAGGGGTTCCAGATTTGAGAGGGCACAGGCCCACCAGTGCATGAATCTGTGCACTGGGCCTCTAGTTTAGTATAAAACTATACCAGGGTTTCTCAATAGTATGACTATTATATTATTTGGTTCAGGTAATGCTTTGTTGTGAAGGGTTGTCCTGTACATTTTAAAATGCTTAACAGCATCCATGGCTTCTACTTAGAAATGTTAATAGCTACACCCTCCTCTTCCCCTTCCCAATTTCTGACAACCAAAAATTTCCCCAGACAGTGCCCGGGGGACAAAATCCACCCCCTACAATGAGAATCACTCAGCTATACTAAAATGACAATACAGGACTTAATTTAATTTAAAATATTTCTATTCAAGTTTTTATTTACCTCTTTAGTCCCTACCTCTTCAAACCTTTAGAAACCTTTCTGTTGATAACATCTATAAAATGAAATAAATTTGTTTTCTAAATTGAAGAAAAGCCAATATTGGGATTTGTGAAGGGACTATAACCACATTCCTTTCTCCATCAATTTATAAACTAATTGAGAAATATACACAGGCATTAGGAATCAAAACACTAGTTTAATTCCAATAAAGTTACTTTTTTAAAAAATATATTTTATTGATTTTTCACAGAAAGGGAGAGGGATAGAGAGTTAGAAACATCAATGAGAGAATCATCAATCAGCTGCCTCTTGCACACCCCCTACTGGGGATGTACCCGCAACCAAGGTACATGCTCTCAACCGGAATCGAACCCGTGACTTTTCAGTCCACAGGCCGACGCTCTATCCACGGAGCCAAACCAGTCCCGGCCATACTCAAGACTTTTAAGCAGAAGATTATATATATAAAAAGCCAGCAACCATAACCCTGTAACAACCAGTCGCTATGACACCCACTCTGGCTAGCAAACTGGCCCCATCAGGTACATATGTCTCCTTTTTCCCCATTGACCCAAGAGCTCTCTATGTGGTTCCCTGAAGCTGATCCCTGGCCAGCATTGCAGCTTTACTTATTCCTCTGCTCAAGCATGTTCTTTTAACATTCTTCCCAGTTATTATTCTCAAAATTATCCTTTAATAAGTACTGCCCACTACTGGACTCTACCCTGATAAAAGGCAGAGCTGGCGGGTCAAATTCCCTACTGCCTTTACCCCGCCTGCCAGCCACACCGATGATCAGCCCGCCCCCACCATGATAGACCCACAGCCCCGACCCCCGGCTGGCCATGCCCCTGATCACACCCCCACCCCAATAGAGGGCAGGGCTCCTGCAGCCCCTCCCCATGGTCAGTCCTGCACTCAAACAGCCCCCCAACCCCAATTAGGGGCCGGGTCCCCAGGCCAATCATCCATGGCCCCTCCCCAGCTGGCCAGGCCTTGATGGACCCCAATATGGGCAGGCCAGCCAATCTCCCGTGCATGAAATCGTACACTGGGCCTCTAGTTATAAGATAAAAAGTGACCCCTTTTACAATTTTATGATTCAGAAATCACCTTTCTGGAAAGTTCAAGTAAAAACAGGTAAAGGTCCAAATTCTCTTCCACAGGAGAGAAAGCATAACCAGTAAAAGAAAACTTTCCCCTACAATCTGTTTCATTGATTTTTTTAAAAATATATATTTTATTGATTTTTTACAGAGAGGAAGGGAGAGGGATAGAGAGTTAAAAACATCGATGAGAGAGAAACATCGACCAGCTGCCTCCGGCACACACCCCACCGGGGATGTGCCAGCAACCAAGGTACATGTCCTTCACCGGAATTGAACCTGGTTCCTTTCAGTCCGCAGGCCAACACTCTATCTATCCACTGAGTCAAACCAG